AGCATAATGTTCTGTTTTATTTGAAGACTTAATGCTGACGTTAATACTTTCCAATCATGACATGCTTGCAAAATAAATTTTATGCTTAACAGGACAAAATAAGCTTGGTTCACCTGAAAGCAATAAAGCAAATTAAGAATCTCCTAAGTGTTTTAGTGTTTAGAACAAAACTGCATTAGAATTAAACGTTAAAATATCAAACACATAAAATGGCTACAATTCAAAGCAACTTTCCATCATTGATCCTATTTTGATTCTGGTCTCGGCAGTGTTGCAATAACAGGCAGCAGGGCAGATGTTATACTTAGTTCGGCATCCAGCATTTGAAAAGGGAACATTAGCCCATGTATCCAAACTTGATCCTCTCACCAGGTATCTGCACACTGAATGAGGACAAGATGTAGCATAGCTGTGATAGCCGAATGGTAGAGCAGGGACTTATTGGAAAGAGATACGTGTAAAGAATGAACTTGGGTGAGCAGCAAGCGTACCCTGTGCTCATGGAGCTCTACTGCAGAAAGCATCCAATGCCCCAAGAAGAGGAGGAAAGGGGAAAAAAATTGCCTGTAAAAACTGGTGAGAGTTTTAAAACATGACCAAAATGTTCTTAAGTGAATGCTATTGGAAGTCCTCTTTGGGAATCATGCTAGGGCTGCTGCCTGGGGCTCTGAACAGAGATAGTTTAGGGCTGGAATCAATGAAATGATGTGAACCATCAATAAATGCTATTAAAGTGAATATACAGATTCCCTAGTGAACCCTTCTGGCAAACTCTTAATGTCTTGTCAAACACTTCAATTTTTAACTGTTCCTAGAGGAGACAGAAAGGAATTGCCACTATGGTGCCAATTTATTTAACTAGAGGAAATACTATACTGTTTGTGCAAAAAAAATTTCCCTGCAACATGCAAAGTAGGTCACATTGTTAAGATGAAACTGCTATCTAATATTACAGACTTGAAGCAATGCAAGGTTAGAGATAACTCTGACCTTGTCACTAGCCACAACTGCTGACAAAGTGCCATGCTGTCTTTTGTTCATCGCTCTTGCAGGACATTCAAAGCACAAACTTTTATGTTCAATTAGCCTTTAGGGATCGGGGAGAAGGCTCAGATCCAGCAAACTAATGAGATACAGACTCAATAAATTCTAAGCTCACTGCTCCATAATGCTCTTTATCTTGACAACAGAGATCCATTCACACTAACATGCTCTTAACCGTTTAAATTAAAAAATGAACTTTTCTTTTGGCTTTCAACAGAATCACTCCAAAGATAGATATTTTTAAACACATGGTATTAAAATTAATTTGTTGCACTTCACTGTTAGTTCAATCCCAGTGGCTTTACAACTGGCAGCTTCACCTAGACCCAGGGTCCACAATGGTACTAAAAGTGTTACAGTCAAACTTCACTGTAAGAGATTCTGTTATTACAAATAACTGATTATACCAAACATATTCATTTTCCCTGCTGGCTGCAGCTCCATTCAAACCAAGAGTAGAGCTTAGGTGTAAACAGGATGAACCCCTGGTAAGAAGAATTACTTTGCCAGTCCCCGTGAGTTTATAATAATGAAGTGTGATTGCATTTACATGGATAATATTGATTTGGCTTTGCTATGAGGTATAAAAGCTCTGTCAAGGAGCAAAACACTGTGATAAACATCTCAGCTGTCTGAAACTATTTATTGCAGTTTCTGAATTATGTCATATATTGCCATTGCGGTTTGTGGGCTCGCTGCCTGTGAATCAGGACTTTTTTTCTGCAACTGCTGCTGCGAAGTGATTATTAAATGGCCAAAAAGGTAATAGCAGCTTTTTAATGATAGGACAGAGCAAAAGCAGCATAGATCCAAGAGAAAAGAATTACATTTTAACTCAATTATTTTTCAAGGTATTCACTTTTAAGCCGGTAATATGATTTTTACATATTATGCATTACCAATCTTCATTTGTCTTCAGGTTCTGAATGTTTAATCATCAAGAGAGTTGCAGAGTAGATTTGAGTAGAGCTGAAAGTTTATGAAACTTGTGCTTATGTTGCTGCCATTTCCTTTACTGAAAAAATGACCATATTAAAAACCAATTATTTTAAGAACATGGTTTATTTTCATCTGGAGAAATTCTTTAACGTTTCTCTAAATGCGAACAAAAATACATTACGGTTTTTTTGAGTGTTAAATCTCAGTGCTGAATTTCCCATGGGATTTTCAAAATGTATACCTTTTGCTAAAAAAAAAATGCAGTGTTTCTCAAAGAATAGCTTCTGCAATATTGGTGATGCACTTTTGCAATAAGTAACATGGAAATGGCTGAGTCCTTCCAAGATTACTCTAACTTCTAACAGACTGCCTTACTTAACAAACATTAATACCTTACTGTCACTCAGAAGAATGTTTCATAGCTGTACTCTAGACTTATTAAACAGTTTGCTGGGTGTCCTTCTGTTTACACATACATATCTGTTCCTGCCAATATCCAAGTCCAATCCAATAGTTTAAAATAACCAAATCATCATCAGGCGCCTTTAAACAAACTTAGTTGTGAGACAATTTCAGGAGTTCAGTCATCTCTGATACCCATGGCATCTTTAAGAGCAACTCATAACTCAACAATCTTAAAGCTCTAATGCACTGACCTACAAATGTTTGAGTTGGATTTATATTTGCAACCAGCAAGTCTGAGTTAAATCTGCTAATGTCCAATCAACAGAAACCTAATGTGTGGAAATGTAAAGGTGAGCTTAGCATTCTGAGTAGGAAGTCTTGTGGTGCAATGGGAACGTCCCTGCCGCTGAACAGAGCTCTGGGTCAGAGGTCATAGAGTTATAGAGTCATGCAGCACAGAAACAAACTCTTTTGTCCAACCAGTCCATGCCAAACATAATCCCAAACTAAACTAGTTCCACCTGCCTGCTCCTGACCCATATCCATCCAAACCTTTCCTATTCACATACTTATCCAAATGTCTTTTAAATGTTGTAATTGTGCCCACATTCATCACTTCCTCAAGAAGCTCATTCCACGCACGAACCACCCTGTGTGTAAAAAAATTGTCCCTCATGTCTTTTTTTAAATCTCTCCCTTTCAACTTAAAAATGTGCCCCCTGGTCTTGAAATCCCCCATCCTATGGAAAAGACACCTAACATTATCCCTATCTATACCCCTCATGATGTTATAAACTTCTACAAGGTCACCTCTCAAACTTCAATGCTCCAGTGAAACAAGTCCCGGCATATTCCCGGCCTTTTATGGATGGTATGTTCATAACATGGCCAAACAGGCTGACTATCAGCCTGTAAATTCTTCCTCAATATAAGTGGCAGGTGGTAAGTGTCTGAGAGTCTCCTAATCAGCCATTCTTCATGCAGAGTAGCACCCCTCATGCTCTACACTTAGGCAACAAGCCGGTGAGCTATTCTATGAAACACTAGCCCCAGAAATAGATACCAACATGAGGCAGTTCTTCCCAATGTATGAATTCACATGGATGTCTAAATCTTAACTGTCTGTTGAGTGCTTAATTCTCCTCTTTCTACCGTCTGACTTGATTGCTTATTTAGGGTAGGAAAGAAATGCAGTTTCTTTGTTTGCAATGTTGAAAAGAAGCTTCACATTTGATTTTTTTTTTGTTTTCTGTAGCAATATTCAAAGAAAGATAACCACAGATTGATGTGAAACACAAGAAGGCAATGACAGTTTTATCAAGCTTAGTTGCTTCTCAGTGATATTGACTGGGGTCTAAATAAAGAATTATGATGCAGGAAATGTAAATGTTAACCAATTAATATAGTATCATACTGAACAATTTGGTTTGGTCAGTTAATTGGATGGCTGGTTTGCAATGCAGACTGTTGCTAAAAGCATGGGTTCAAATTCTTCACCAGCTGAGGTTTCCATGAAAGACTCTTCTTTGCAATCTTGCCCTTCATCTGAGACATGGTGACCCTCAGGTTAAATCATCACCACTGTCTCTCTCAAATGATTGGTAGGATGTTGGTGGCTTTATCTTTTAATTACAATTTATTCAAATAAGAGCTCTTGTCTAATAAGTCAAATTGTATATCGGGCAACAAAATATCCAGTGCAATTGGCAATTAACTCTGTTGTAACACCACCTTGTACTAAAGAATCACATTTATTTGTTCCAACTCATTTACTTTGTGAGTAATGCATTAACTGTAGCTTTTTTTAATGGATTCAATTCTTCTGCTGTTAAAAAAATACAATTAGGATGTATAAATCTCCGAATGCCCACTCTCCCAATTCTCCATCACTCTGATGAGGTAACCAGTTTTAATTCAGGTGGAATATTGCAGTTATGTCGAGTGTCCCTTTGGTGGTACCAAAGCATGCAGGACCTTTTCTTGGAAACTGGATTCTTGGCCGCAAGCAATCATGCAGTGGCCAGCTAATTAGCCATTCAGAGTCAAGGGCCCAACCAATTATGCGGCAGGGAAGGGCATAAGGATGACAATCCTGCCATTACCTCACAGGGTCAGAGGGTTAGTCACCATCTCTGAACTGCGCACAGATGGGTATATATATTCTCTGTGCAAAGCAACCTGGCAAATTGAGTGGATATTTTGAAAATTCAAGTGCTGCTGCAAATATCTGGCATTATTAGACATGAAAATGTATAGTCTACTGTCAGCTTAACACTGGAAAAGTAACATATCTCACAAGTTTTAACAGCAGTTGAGGCTAACTGCTATTTCCACTAACAGGAATCTGCAGTCAAGCCAAAAAGATGTTTTCTCTGATTACACAAATGAGTAATGTAGTTGTGAATTTCAGTACCAGTGTGGTGCTATATATCCCAGTGACTGGAAAGTTATATCAAACAGTATATCCCTTCAATACTTTGCGATAGCACAGTACCAATTACACTCAACCACTTGCAAATCACTTAACATTAATGTCCATAATTAGATGTGATTCTGTGATTGAGCTGCACTTGATGAGCATTCAGAGTAAGTTAAAAATTACATGAGTGAGCTTGCTTCAGCAGCATGTATACTGACATTGGAAAGACAGAGAGAAGATTAGCATGCCCCTGTACAAGGATGGTGCACAGATCTGTGAAGTGTACAATAAAAGAATTGCACTAATGATAATTTGCAATTATTAATTTGAATCATAATTGGTTTGCTTAGAGTTGCTGGAAGCTTTATGTATTCATACAGAGTCAGCTGGAGAGAAGGTGAAATACCTCCTGGGTCCCAAATGTATTCACCATCATAATGATTCAATCATTTGGAGTTGACTTCATAACCAGTTTTCTTTTATCATGAATGGTCGCTCCTGTTAAAATTTGGCTTTTAGACAATACAGAAGACGACTGCTATACAATACAATAGCTACTAATTTAAGCCAGGACAAAAGTTCAAGTTCAGAGACAACAAGGTGCAGGGCTGGATGAACACAGCAGGCCAAGCAGCATCATAGGAGCAGAAAGGCTGACGTTTCGGGCCTAGACCCTTCATCAGAAATGGGGGAGGGGAAAGGGGTTCTGAAATAAATAGGGAGAGAGTGGGAGGCGGATAGAAGATGGATAGAGGAGAAGATAGGTGGAGAGGAAACAAACAGGTCGAAGAGGAGGGGATGGAGCCAGTAAAGGTGAGTGTAGGTGGGGAGTTAGGGAGGGGATAGGTCAGTCCAGGGAGGACGGACAGGTCAAGGGGGCGGGATGAGGTTAGTAGGCAGGAGATGGGGGTGCGGCTTGAGGTGGGAGGAGGGGATAGGTGGGAGGAAGAACAGGTTAGGGAGGCAGGGACGAGCTGGATTGGTTTTGGGATGCGGTAGGGGGAGGGGAGATTTTGAAACTTGTGAAATCCACATTGATACCATTGGGCTGCAGGGTTCCCAAGCGGAATATGAGTTGCTGTTCCTGCAACCTTCGGGTGGCATCGTTGTGGCACTGCAGGAGGCCCAGGATGGACACGTCGTCTGAGGAATGGGAGGAGGAGTTGAAATGGTTCGCGACTGGGAGGTGCAGTTGTTTATTGCGAACCGAGCGTAGGTGTTCTGCAAAGCGGTCCCCGAGCCTCCGCTTGGTTTCCCCGATGTAGAGGAGGCCACACCGGGTACAGCGGATGCAGTATACCACATTGGCAGATGTGCAGGTGAACACCTGCTTGATGTGGAAAGTCTTCTTGGGGCCTGGGATGGGGGTGAGGGAGGAGGTATGGGGGCAGGTGTAGCACTTCCTGCGGTTGCAGGGAAAAGTGTCGGGTGTGGTGAGGCTGGAGGGGAGTGTGGAGCGGACAAGGGAGTCACAGAGAGAGTGGTCCCTCCGGAAAGCAGATAAGGGTGGGGAGGGAAAGATGTCTTTGGTGGTGGGGTCGGATTGCAGATGGCGGAAGTGTCGGAGGATGATGCGTTGGATCCGGAGGTTGGTAGGGTGGTACGTGAGGACGAGGGGGATTCTTTTTTGGTTGTAATTGCGGGGACGGGGTGTGAGGGATGAGTTGCAGGAAATGTGGGAGGCACAGTTGAGGGCGTTCTCGACCACTGAGGGGGGGAAGTTGCGGTCCTTGAAAACGAGGACATCTGAGATGTACGGAAGTGGAATGCCTCATCCTGGGAGCAGATGCGGCGGAGGCAAAAGAATTGGGAATAGGGGATGGCATTTTTGCAGGAAGGTGGGTGGGAGGAGGAGTATTCTAGGTAGCTGTGGGAGTTGGTGGGCTTGAAATGGATATCGGTTTCTATTTGGTTTCTATTTCTCATCATCACAGCCTGCTTTCCCACTTTTTTTAGCACCATCCCTGAATTTTGCTGTTACCCTCTTTCCCTGCTTGCAGATCATTTATATAGATTGTAAATAGTTGACGTCTGAAAACTGAACCCTGCAGCACCCCACTCGTTACAGTTCACCATTTAGAAGGACCCATTTATCCTGACTTTCTGCTTTCTGGAGATGGAGACAGAGAGGTCCAGGAAGGAGAGAGAGGTATCAGAGATGGTCCAGGTGAACTTAAGGTTGGGGTGGAAGGTGTTGGTGAAGTGGATGAACTGTTCGAGCTCCTCGTGGGAGAACGAGGCGGCGCCGATACAGTCATCAATGTAACGGAGGAAGAGGTGGGGTTTAGGGCCAGTGTAGGTACAGAAGAGGGATTGTTCCACGTAATCATCCATGTTTCTTCTTTCCATTTCTAGGAAATAAGATACTTTTTCAGGCTCCTCACAGATCTTAGTATTACATGAAGGCAGGTACCACAGAACAAATGTGTCGTGCTGGATCAAATCAATTCCATTTGTAGCTTCATCTTCACTTCATACTAACATCAATTCCTCCAAGTTACAACCTTTAGGAACATAAGAATTAGGAGCTGGAGTAGACAGTTCAGCCCTTAGAACCTATTCCACCATTTAACCTGATCATAGCTGATCTCAACTCCACTTTCCTGCCTGCTCCTCATAGCCCTTTATCTTGCTTTTCATCAGAAGCATATCATTTTCTTTGTTGAATATGTTAATTCATTCTGCTTCCACTGTACCCTGTGGCAGTGAGTTCTATAGATTCACAGCCCTCTGAAAGAAGTAATTTCTCCACATCTCAGTTTTGAACCTGCCTCCTGTCACTCAATATATGACCTCTTGTTCCCCCCACAAGGGGGAACATCTGTTCCATGTCCACTTTATCGATCCCCTTTAGCATTTCATATACCTCAATCAAAATGCCCCTCATTCTTTTAAAGCCCAGCGAGTACAAGCCCAAGCTATTCAACTGCTCCTTGTATGACAGCCCTTTCATGCCTGGAATCAACCTGGTGAACCTCCTCTGAATTGCCTCCAGTGCTGTCACATTCTTCCTCAAGTAAGGAGACCAGAACTGGACACAATATATAATTAGAACAACACTTGTTTACATTTATAATCCAGTTCTTTTGTAATAAGTACAAGGATTCCATTTGCCTTTCTTATTGTATCCTATATCTGCATATCTACCTTCTCTGCTTCACGCTCAAGGACACCCAGATCCCTCTGCACTGACACACTTTGAATCTGCTTTCCATTTAAATAATTTTGCCTTTTTATTTTTGAGCCAAAGTGGACAACCTCGCACTTATCCACAATTAAACTCCATCTGCCAGATTTCTGGTCCATTCTTCTGGCCTATCAATATCCATTTGAAAACTCTTTATCTCCTCATCACAGCCTGCTTTCCCACTTTTTTTAGCACCATCCCTGAATTTTGCTGTTACCCTCTTTCCCTGCTTGCAGATCATTTATATAGATTGTAAATAGTTGACGTCTGAAAACTGAACCCTGCAGCACCCCACTCGTTACAGTTTACCATTTAGAAGGACCCATTTATCCTGACTTTCTGCTTTCTGTCAGTCCGCCAATTCTCTATCCAAGCCAATAATCTACCCTTAACACCCTGGGATCTAACCTTCTGGATCAGTCTTCTGTGTAGCACCTTGTCAAATGCCTTCTGGAAGTCTAGAAATACCATATCCAATGGATTCCCATAATCTACCTTGTGGGTTCCATCCTCAAAGTGCTGCAAGTGTTTGTCAAGCACAACCTGCCCTTCAAGAAACCATGCTGACATTGGTGAACTGAGCTTTGTTTTTCCAAGTTTTCACTTACCTTCTCCTTTATGATTGACTCCAGCAACTTACCACTAAAGAGGTCAAACTAATTGGTCCGTACTTTCTCATTTTTTTCCCTACCTCCTTTTTTGAATGAAGGTGTCACATTAGCATGTTTTCAATCCTTTGGTACCTTTCAAAGTCCAGGGAATTTTGGAAAATTGTAACTAATGCATCCACTGTTCTGCTGCCACCTCCTTTAATACACTAAGGTGCAGGCCATCAGGCCCTGGGAACTTATCTGCCTTTATCCCAATCAATTTACTTAATACCTTCCCCCCAGTTATAGTAATTCGCAAAGTTCCTTTGTACTAACTGCAGTTTTTGGCAAGAAATTATTTTCTTCCACTGTGAAAATAGAGACAAAATATTGGTCTGGTGCCTCTGCCATTTCTGAGTTACCTCACCATTTTCATTTTCTAAAGGGCCAACATTTACTTTCACTATTATCTTCCCTTTTATATACTTATAGAAGCTTTCGGTATCAGTGCTTATGTTTTCTGCTATTTTTCTTTTGTAGTTCATCTCAGCTCATTTGATCTTGTTTTTAGTGACACTTTGCTGAAGTTTAAAGTTCTCCCAATCTTCCAGAGTGCAACTAACTTTTGTAGTATGATATGCCCTAGTTTTTGCTTTTATGTTATCCTTGACTTCCTTGTTAAGCCATGGGTGATTTTCCTCTCTCTAAATACCTCTCAGGAATATACTTTAACTGAGAGGTATTTAGTATCTCCCTAAGCATTTGCCACTGTTCTTCGATTGTCCTGCCCGTTAATATTTTTGCCTAGTCTGTTAGGGCCAAATCCTTCCTCAGGCCTGTATAATTAACTTTGCCCAAGACTAAAACTCTAGTATGCAACTCTCTCTTTACTCTTTCAATCTGAATTTGAAATTCGACCATGTTGTGGTCTCTCCTACCAAGAAGATCTTTAACTACAAGACAATTTATCAATCCTTCCTTGTTACATAGTACCAAATCTAAAGTAGCCAATTGTCTAGCTAGCTCCATGACATGTTGCTCTAAGAAACAATTTTTCATACAATATGAACCTGTCTTCCAGGCTATCCTTGTCAAGGTGATTAATCCAGTCAATATGCAAGTTCAAATCACTCGTAATTACTGTTGTATGCTTCTCACAAGCCCTCATTATTTCCTGGTTTATACTATGCTCTACTTCAGAAGTACAGTTCAGGGGCTTGTGAATTACTCCTACCAAGGAGTTTCTTCCCTTGTTTTTTATTTCCACCCAGACTGATTCAACATTTTCACTCCTACAGGCAATATCATTTCTTAATACAGCCTTCAAACAATAAAGCGACTCTACCTCCTGTTCCTTCTTGTCCATCCTTTCGCAATATTGAATACCCTTGGACATTTAACTCCAAGTCCCTATCTTCCTGTAACCATGTATCAGTAATCCCCACCAAGTCATACCCATTTGTCTCTATTTTTGCTGTCAGCCCACCAACTTTACTACGCACATTTAAGGACAAGCTT